CTGTGTAAAGGAGGAGGAACACTACTGCTTAAATCACCCTTACCTAACTTGAACCATGTGCTCTGGAATCAGGTACAGCCTGTGGGGACCACATCAGCAGTGTGAAAACTCTGTGTCTACCGAGAAGAGTTTCATGTAGCAGAACTGGCTGGTTCATTCCAGAGGTTGACACCCGTTCTCTCCACCAGCGATCTCATTACACACCACAAGGGCCGGTCGTTGCCCCTACACAGCCCGGCACTGGTCTTCTTCTGCATGTCATACACCACGGGCCCGTCACTGGAGGACTGCAGCTCTGGGTCTACACTTTCAGAACGTTCCTTACTGAGCTGTTGGCATCGGCTGTGAGTCCGATGGAAGGGGGATCATGGCGAGAAGGGGGGGGTCGCGTGCACCAGAGGAGATGCATTGAGGTGGCCGCTGCATTTCCAGCTTTGTGCAGAAAGTGTTGCACGTATGCCATGCACGTGGGGACGAGCTGTCAACAACGGCTGTGAGTCGGACGAAAGGGGGATCATGGAGAGAAGTGGGGGCTCGCTTGCACCTGAAGAGATGCATTGAGGTGGCCACTATATTTCCAGCTTCGTGCAGACGGTGTTGCACGTATGCCATGCACGCAGGGACGAACTGTGGACATCGGCTGTGCGTCGCATGAAGCGGCAATCATGGTGAGAAGTGGGGTGCAGCTTGCACCAGTGGAGCTGCTTTGAGGTGGCCGCTGTATGTTCAGCTTTTTGCAACGCTGCTGCATGTAGGCCATGCACTTGGGAAGTACGTGTGACAACCAGCAGGCAGCATGTTCGTGCGATAACCAGCAGGCAGCATGACGAAGGCAGCACGTACGTGCGATAACCAGCAGGCAGCACGATGATTCTGTGAATGCATCGGTAAGTGGAGTGAGCAGGAAGGGAAGAAGACGGAAGGAAGTGGAAGCAGTCCCCCCCCCCCTCCTCCTCCTCTTTTAGAAGACAGGTTTTGGAAGAAGAGGAAGGAAGGAGGAAGTGAGGTGACCGTAAACATGGCACGGGCAGGTCCACCCCCAACAGCACATCAACCTGCAGCGAGGCAGAAATATGATCGGCAGCTGCGGATCTGGGGGGAGCATGGGCAGGAGGCCCTCAAGAACGGACACGTATGTCTTCTTAACTGTGGACCAACTGGCTCCGAGGCTCTCAAGAATCTTGTGCTGGGTGGCATCGGGTCCTTCACCATAGTGGACGAAGCTAGGGTGAAGCCTGCTGATCTTGGAAACAACTTCTTGGTGGATTGTGAGAGCTTGGGGCAATCGAGGGCCAAGTGTGTGAGTGGGCTACTGCAAGAATTGAACGAGGGCGTTGCGGCACGATTTGTCGAAGAGTCGCCACAGACCCTTATAGAACATGATGCAAACTTCTTTTCTGTGTTTACCTTGATCATTGCCACACAGATGACAGAATCATCGCTCGAAAAGTTGGATTCTTTATGTCGACAGCGTGGCATCATGTTGATCACGGCACGGACTTTTGGTCTAGTCGGTTCCGTTCGAATCAGTCTCCAGGAGCACAGGGTGATAGAATCCAAACCGGACAATCTGTTGGACGATCTAAGGATCCATCAGCCATGGGAGGAACTCAGGGAGTTCGTGAACAGTTGTGACATCGATACAGAGGACCTCCTTGTGCATCAACACATTCCGTTTGCCGTTCTGCTGGTGCGAATAGCGGACGAATGGCGTGCAGCCCATGGAGGGCGGGCACCGAAGACAGCAGCAGAGAAGGCGGAACTGAAGTCCTGGATTACTGCGCGCAAGAGAGAGCAGGATGAGGAGAATTATAAGGAGGCTCTGGCATCGGTGTTTAAGGCGTGGTCTCCACCGGCGATCAGTCACAACTTACGGGCAATTTTGGACGATCATGCTTCGCATGTGAATTCTGCATCCCCAGATTTCTGGGTCATGGTGGCGGCACTAAAGGAGTTCATGCGGAATGAAGGCGACGGCGAGCTCCCTCTTGATGGTGCCATCCCAGACATGCACTCGTTTACCGACTTCTACATTGCCTTGCAGCAAGTGTATCAGAAGAAAGCTGCTGCAGATGTGGCTGCAGTAGCCGCACATGCTCAGCGCATTTTGAAGGAGGCCGGTAAAGTCCCCGACTCCATCCCCTATTCCACAATCAAGCTGTTCTGCAAAAACGCGCGGAACCTGCAGGTGATTCGGTATCGTCCTCTAGCAGAAGAGCAGAGTGCTGCGCTGGCCCAAGGATCAGAACTTCTTAGGATGCTGGCTTCAGAGGAGAGCAGCAACGCCGTCATCTATGTTCTGCTTAGAGCGGTTGATCTCTTCGCTGCAACCTTTAATAGATATCCGGGAGTCTATGACAGCGACGTGGAGGAAGATATCGCGAGGTTGAAGGCCGTCGCTGTGGCACTTGTCAGCGAATGCGGACTCACTGGGGCAGCAATCCCTGATGATTTTATCAGTGAGATTTGCAGATTTGGTGCCTCAGAGCTCCACGCTACAGCAGCAGTGATCGGTGGAATTGTGGCTCAGGAGGCCATCAAGCTTTTGACAAAGCAGTTTGTTCCTTTGGCGGGCACCCTCATCTACAATGGCATATCGTCCACAACATCGACGCTCCCATTTTCATAAACACGACTGTCATCGCAGAGTCCACACACGCTGCTTCTAAGAGTCTTTGGGCTTGCCACCAGGAGACGGAGCGTAGTTTGTATAACTTGTTGCTGAGCTGCCAAGAGCACTCCACAATGTTGGTTGTGCCATAGCTCACGATTTTGGGAATTCAAACATCATGACTGGAAGCTGAAGTGATGGATGATGAATGTGAGGATGTGGTCATGTTTCCAGTACACATTCAAGATGCTCAGTAGAGTTTGGAGTGGCGGCAATGCTCAGTAGAGTTTGGAATGGAGGCTGATTCAGGGCCTCGCTCGATTACTCTCCACATGCACAAAAGACAAAAAATATGGCAGTGTATCTTTCCATGTTCTAGCCGAAGATTCATTCTCATTTTGTACGTTTGCTGAGTGGTTCAATCTTGCAGAGTAGAAGTTGAGTGACATTTTATGTTCTGACTGATGAGCGATGTCCGGCGGGCTGCTGCTATTTAAACCACCAGTACGCTTCCCAGCCATGTCGCAGAAATGCGCCCTGCATGCTGGCGCCTCGGCCGGGATGTACCACGCCGGGGTGCCTTTTTGCCCGAAATCCATCCAGGCAAAATGGATGGCATGCGAGACCTGATTTGCGGGGATGGAATTCGGGCGAAAAGGCACCTCGGTACATCCCACCGACGATCGCCTGCATGCAACGGCGCATTTCTGCAAAATGGCTGGGAATCGTACTGGTGGTTTAAGGCGTGATGAGCTCGACAGTGTTGCTAATGTGTGTTTTGTTGGGGACCATAAGAGCACAAAGAGTCCAGAGAAAGAATGTAAACCCACAGAAAAAAAGAAGCAAACCAACAAGCAAGCACACAAACAAACAAATAAAACACAATCAGTTGACCAGGCAACAGCACACGTTTCGCTCCACTACTCACCGTATGTGCAAAATGAGAATGAATCTTCTGCTAGAACATGGGAAGATACACCAAGGGCTGCGTATTTTGCGTGAAAACGCAAAATACGCAGTACGCAGCCCTTGTGACACAAAAAATCACCTACAATTTACGATTTTATGAAAGTGCGTGCTAGTGTGAGTATACCCTGAGTGGGAGGCGGAAGGAAAATGAAAACAGGTCTGAAGTCAGTCCAAGGTTTTTTGGATAGGGTAGTACCGTAGTAGGCACGGGGATAGACAGTGTATCCGTAGAAGATGAGTTCAAAGGAGGCAGGTCAGCAGGCAGTGGCCCTAAATCATTAAGTCTTTTTTTTTTTTTTTTTTTTTTTTTTTGGACAAAGTGCTCCAATCCATTCGTGGGGAGAAGGACGTGTTGGGAACCGGGTATAGCATCACATATGCAGCTCCCCACTAATAGATTGGAGCCGTCTAATTGGGAGGCTTATTATTGGAGGACGCTCTTATCGCCTCCAATAATAGGTCTCTAGCAGATGTTTTTCTCAAAACAAACAAACAAACAAACAAAACAAAAAAAATGAAACACATAGAAGTATTGAAGCGCCGGGACCAGCTCGGCTTCTTCTGAGAAAACTCTGAGAGCAAATTGAACCAAGTGCTAATGAATCAGCCTCGAAGGGGCTAATGGAAGAAACCACACATCTATGCAGAACTAGATTCAAATGAAAAATTGAGCACCACCAATAACATCCAACAACTTATCAATTCGGGGGAGGGGATACACGTCCTTAATCGTGATGTCATTCAACTTTCGGTAATCAATACATATACGAATCCCTCCCGCCTTTTTCAGTACAATCACCACAGGAAACGACCGTGGTCCGATGGCAGGTTCAATCCATCCACTAGCTTCAGACTCCTTTACTCGCTGAAACGCGGCCAGTCGTTGCGCCGGAGAGTACCGATAGGGAGCGCAATTGATCGGTGGTTGATACCCTGTGAGGATCGCGTGTTCAATCGCGCTTGACAACCCAATATCGTTATCGTGCACACTCAATACCTCAGCATATCCATGCAATACATCAATCAAAGACTTGCAAATTTCTCTGGGAACGTGATCGGGTAAGGTGATCGCTGGTCGTTGGAAAATGTCACGCCGTATGTCGATCCAATCTGGTCCCATTGGTCGTTTACCATCTATGCTGGAGAACATGGAGCTACTGGTTCAGACCGAAAAAACGGTAGCAAGCATCTGTGACTCGGTCGGGATGATCATTTCAGTTTCCTTAGTTTCCACATCTGTCTCGGGTTCAATGGTGTTTGCTATGATTTCCAACCCAGTTAGCTCAACCATTTCCTGCATCAGATTGGGAACATCATTGATCGGGGCTTCAACCTTTTGCTTAATGCGATCACAACACCTTGCGTGAGCAATGGTCTGAGCGGGGAGACGAAAAAATATACGTATTGATTCATTTGTTGACATTTTTCTCGTAATGAAAGCGCGCCCTCGTACAAGGTTCAAGGGGGTTCCAAGAGGTCAAACATATTTGAAATCTGCAATATAGGTTTTCCCAGGAAGGACGTTGCTGGAACTTGTATTTCTGTTGGCGCAAGAAGGGATTTAGGCAGAGCAGGGCTAAGCTCGCCGCTGCTCTCTGTGTTTTGATCAAATGTCCGCGTGGTAGTCGGGATTATCCGGAATTCTTTTTTAGCCTCGTGATCGAACAACTTGACCAACCGACTCCATTCCTTCTCAGTAGGCATGTAATTTAAGAGCTCATCATAGTCTCGTTCGTCATACCTGTCATCATTAGAAAGGTGTCGGTTCTCATCACCGCTTTCCGACCAATTTTCTGGAACCGGGACTTTGATCATTCATATTTGGATGAGACTGAGATTATTTCTTGGTGATCGAGTGAAAACTCGTAGCGGAATTGTATGAGGCTTTCCTCCAGTGTATGTAAGGATAAGTTGTTTGGAGTCGAAATGTATCTGCGCACCCACAACCATCGCCCAAGGTAATCCCAACAGTATTGAGTATGACTGCACATCGATGACTAACGCGTTAACCAGGACATGTACTCGTTCTACCTTGACGACTACATTTTTGATGATTCCGACTATATTCATGGTTTCTTCATCGGCAGAGACGTAGTTGTCTTTCTCGGGCAAGGGGAGGATCGAATTCAATTGTCCAGTTTTTCGAATGGTTTCCAAGGATATCGCCACAACAAACGATCCGGTATCAACGAGAGCACTGAACGGTTTACCCCATACCTCACAATCACATTTTGCACTCTTCCATAAAACAGATCGAACACGGACAAAGTGATCCTTCTCTGCATACGAAATGGTAGCGACTCGAGCAGTTTCAGGCGCCCCGAACACGTTTACGGTGGGTATTCGTTCCGAAGGAGGAGAGTCTACTTCTGCTTCGTCGTCCTTCTTTTTCTTCAACATCCTCTGAACACGTTGGTACGTGAATCGTTTCTAATTTTTCTGGCATTGTTGAAGAAGCTTGTCGTTCGCTGCCTCCGATATGGTCATCAAATGACCCACTGGGATTATGATATCTAAGTGTTTGAGCGTCTGAAGAACGTCGATTTCTCCTATTCGAAACCGAGGACCGGGTTCTGATCCTCGTTCAACCCATTCGAGTTCGTCTTTGCCAAGTCGGATTGCTCCGATTAGTCCCGCTAATTGAAGGTACTCTATCAGATCAACGACATCGGCCGCTTCGGAAGAGGATCCTGAAGTGGACGCGATGGGTACAGGCGAAGAAGATGGTTTTGTAGAGAAAGAGTCAGGCTCCCTCTGTCTTGTTGTTTCTAACACTGTGGCTACCCGGCCTTGGTTTAAGGCGACAGGCGCGACTGCTGGTGGGGTTTGGTTACGCCTTGGCAGGGGGCAGTCTCGTGCAGAGTGACCGGGTTGTTTACAGTTGTAGCATTCAACCCTTCCTACTGGATTGACCACATGATACGGGGCAGGAAGCGCTTGGCCGGGGGCGGGAGGAGCAGTCAGCAGGGGATACGAAGGAGGAGCAGGACGTGGAGAACTCGAGTTAGCCTTTATCAATTTTGTCATGATTTGTTCCAATCGATCCATCTGGGAAGTCTGCATCTGAATCAGATTGTTCATCCACTCAGATTGTTTAGTCGTGGCAGTATGAATCATTTGGGCTAGATGCAGGTTAGTGAGAGGTACTGGCGCAACAGCCTGGGGCATGACGGTATTCACAAGTGTCATAGGAGATGAGGAGAGGGATCCGGGGAGGGTCCGTCCTGATAGTCGCGATCAGGGCGAGGGTAAAATCGCCCCACCGCTTTGAGCCACGTACGCCGTTTGGCGGCCACATCTTATATCGTGTCCGAGATGTCTTCATCCCCCTGACTGATGTATTTGCGCGTATCCGGTAAGTCTAGTTCAAGTGCTTTAGCAATGATGATAGGTAGCTGGTTCGTCTTTGGAGGAACCTTTTTCGGCAGTTTCGCTTTCAGTACTGGATTACGGAGATGATCGATGAACAAGTCTCGAGCTGCGTTTTCTTCCCGCCCCGATTTATCTAACGCGGTTTAAAATCGATCCACAAAGTCGGCTAGCAACTCTCCGGGTTGCTGTGGGCGGTTTTTTAGCACAAACCACGCAGCATCCTCACTGACTTCATCGAACCTTGCTAAGAACGCTCTCTTGAATGTATCCAATCTACCCACCTATGCCTTCTAAACCAATCATGGGCGGTGTTTCGGAGAAGCAGGGTGATGACACGAGGAAGATCCTCAGCTCCATATCCCTGAGCTTGCATGGCTTCGAGCCATGCCTCGGGATGGGTATGGTTGGGGTAAAACGGGAGGTGACGGGGATGCTCACCATCACCCGAGGAGCCGCTCCATTAGTATCGGCCATGAACATCTCTGGTCGGGTTTCTGCGGACCTTTGTCAAGTGACGGGAGGACTCAGATAATTAGATCTGTTGGCTGATCTTCCTCTCGCCAGCTCGTCTTACTAACGTCAGAACCGACACGTGTCGGCTCCGATACCAACCTCACGCCCTACGCTGCTTCCCGGTCGGAGCGTTTTGGTTTGCGGAAGGGCCCCGGGATGACAGCGAAGATGGGGTGTGCCAATGATTTTTTGAAAAGTTCAATGTGGGGACACAGACAGAACTGAAATCCCCCGTGTTGGTCCGACCCTAGTAAGACGGAGGTCCGTCGCCACGCGGGTTTAGGGGAGAGAAAGGCGCGCGAGGGGCTCGCGGCTATGGGAAATTCAATCCAAAAAGTATCGCCGAACTTCCCAGCGAGCCGTCGCTCTTCGTTTCGCATGAAAGGGGGCGCGTACACACGTGGTATCCCGTTTACAGATGAGGTCTCGTCGACGCTCGTTACACAACTCCGAGTCCGACGTGGAGGGCTTCAATCGAGTAGCCCTCTCCTTATGCTCGTCCTCGCTATGTGTGCGGTAGTGGAAACGCTTGGCCCGGTAACGCTCGAAGCGGCGAGA